GAGCACTGAATTCTCAGGTCTCAGTACCTTCTTGGCAGTCTGCAGGGGAAGTTGGGGGGTGGTTAAAGGGGAATCTGAGCCCCAAGTTTACCTCCACCCTGCCCTTCCAAGACAAGGGCGTTCAGATAAAAGCATATACTTACCGTGAGAGTTCGCAGCCAGCTGAGCTGAGCCAGGCCAACCCTTGTCCCAGATCATCTGGGCTCCTCTCCAAACATGGGCGGGGAGGATGTCAGGCACCATATCTGGTGCAGACTTAGGAGATTCAGAGACAGAAGCCTCTCATCTCTGGCTTCACAACCTGGCAAGAGTTCAAGTCCTGCCTCCAGGCAGCCAAAGGCCTGAGCTGAGACCTGACTGCTGGAAGCAGGAAGAAAGAATGCAGCCCCAACCCCACTGAGGATTACCAGCGTCAGATTCTGGGGATAAAGAGTCCAGCTGGAGGAGAAAACCTACAGGCCTACAGGCTGGGCTCAGCTTAGGAGGACAGAGTGGAGGCATAGGGGATGAGGCTGAGAGTGGCTGTGAGTGGACGGGGTCCAGGCAGGGGAGGGCAGAGCGAGGGGACCCTGAGTGGAGTCCTTGTTCTGCCCTGTCCTTTCTCTGACTGTGGGCAATGTGGCCCTCCTGGGCTCAGGCTTCCCATCTGGGAAATGGGATGTCAGATGAGGCCTTAGAGGGTGACAGAGGAAGGCTCCTAAGAAGAAGGAGCTCCAAAAAGAGGGACCAAAGGGAAGGGGATGGCAACTAGCACTTCAGCTGCTGTGTGCCTATCTCTACTCTGTGCAGAAGACTGTATGGAAGGTACTACTGTGTGCACTTAGTGTGTGCCAGCCTCACTATATAAAGTGCACCTACTGTGTATCAGCTACTCTACATAAATTCTGTCTACTATGTGCCAGGTGTGCCACATAAAGTTCACCTACCGTGTGCAGCATGCTCTATATAATGCAAGCTTACTTTGTGCAGAGTACTTCGTATAAAGCGTGCCGACTCTGTGCCATGCGCCATATATGAAGCATACCTACTGTGTGTCAGGTGCTCCACATTGAACATGTGTACTATGTACCTGGTGACCTACCTAAAGTGTACCTACTCTGTGTCAAGTATGCTACATAAATCTTGTCTATTATGTGCTGGCTACTCCACATATAGTGCACCTACTGTGTGCCAGGTGCTCCACATAGAGTGTCTACTGTATGCTGGGCGTCCTTCACAAAACCTGTATCTTGAGTCCCTAACCCTTTATATAAACCATGCCTACTGTGTGCCAGGTGCTTTAAATAAAGCACACCTACTGTGTGCTAGATGATCCACATAAAATGCTTCTCCTGTGTGTTAGATCCCCTACATAAAGTAAAAGTACTCTGTGCAACATATTTGACATAAAGCACACATACTGTGTGCCAGGTGCACTATATAAAGTGTGCCTTACTCTGTGCCAGATATGCTACATAAAGAGCACCTGCTGTGTGCCAAGTATGCCACATAAAGTGTACCTACTATGTGCTAGGTGCGCCACATAAAGTACACCTACTGTGTCAAGTGCTCTACATAACGTGCACCCGACTGTATCAGATGCTCACCTGCATCACAGTGCCCAAAGCTGTCCCACCACCCTCCCATCGGCTCTCTAGACCAGAACCCTGGGCATTGATGGAGAGACCTGAGTGATGGCACCCAGTGGAGGGAAGGTGTCCATTGAACATAAAAACAAATTGAGGCTCGGAGAGGGCAGTCCTCTAGTCCAAGTTGCAGAGCTCATAGGAACTCAGGTCTATGAGACCCTCAAGTCCAAATCCATTCTCTCTGCCATGCTGCACCGTCCCCATTCATTAGCGTCAATGCCATGTTAATATAGGGACATTTATAGTGGAGGAATCTCAGGCAATGTGGTAGCCCCAAAGGGGAAATATCTTGAGGCCCTTGGACAGTACCTGGCTCCTTCTCCCACACGCAGGATTTTCCACCCAACAGAGGGGGCCAGGGCTCCCCTCCTGGCCCTCCTTAGATCCTGTCCAGAATTTCCCTGTGGGGTGGACTTAGGTGAGGGGAGGCTTGAAGGAGGTGGCTCCTAGCAGAAATGCTGAGCAGGAGGGTGGGGAAGCCAGTACTTCTGACACTGGTTGGGTGTTGGGGAGCACATAGACCACCCCCACCCCACTACCCCTGCCAACTCAAACAACCAGGGGATTCAGGCACCTGGCCCTACAGCCTCAGTCTCATAGGGTGCATCCCCCAGAATCCCCACTCCTTCTCAAGGACAGACCTCACCTGCTGGCGGTTCCATCCCTGTTACTCAGGGAGCAAAGCCAGAGGTTGATGAACAGCCAGAGTTCTAGGGACAGAGAAGAAAGTGCCCCCAGTAGCTAGAGGGGCTCAGCTCACTGTGGACCTCCTGTGTGCCTGGGAGGGGTAGGCAACCTAGAGCAGGAATGGTAGCCATCGACATTGCCAACATGAGTCATGGAGCCTGTTTTAAGTCTTTTAAGTATATTAACCATTTTGTTTTTCCATTTCACAAATGAGAAATCAAGTCTGGAAAATAAGTGACTACTCACAGTCACACAGCTGATGGATCTGGGCTGTGCACCAGACCACCCACCCAGCCTCACATTGTACCCCCCTCACCACCAGGCTGTGCTCCTTCACGTTTGTAAATGGGTGTTTCAGTAGCACCATCTCACAAAGTTGTCGTAATAACTAAAACAGACGATGATGCATGCAAAATAACGTTTTGGGATAAAAAGAAGGGAGTGAAGGGGAAGTTCATTTACTAAATATGTGTTACGTGGCATCATCTCCCCTCATTCATTGTCACCAATTCTCTCAGTGGAGCAGATATTTTCTGTCCAAACAGCCTGCAATTTTTCCCCTAATAGCCAGACTTGGTATTGAGCCCTGCCTGTCTTCCTCTGCTCCTATTCCCACAAAACAATAGTGACAGAGTAGACAAAAACAACTGTTCCTCCCCTCCCTACCTGGGCAGCAGAGTCATCCACACTGCCAACATGAGTCCTGGAGCTCAGGAACAGCCACCAGCACCTGTACTCACCATTCAATCTCTTTAGGCTTACGGTCCTTCACAAACTCTTGCACCTCCTGCCAGCAGTGCTCGTGGTATTCTGGGTGCCTTGCAAGGTTGTACAGGACCCAGGAGAGACCACCCGTCCTGATGTCATGGCCTGAGGGGCGGCCAGGCAGTCTTGGGTTTCTGGGCTGCTTGAGCACCAGAGGATGGACAGCACCCGTGCATTGAGAGCCTGGGGGAGGATGGGGGAAGGGAAATGGGAAGAGTGAAGCGATCCAGAGTCCACCCACAACATCCTTGGGGTGAGAGATCCTGACCCTCACTGTAATCCTACACTGGGACCCTCACCCTCAAACATGAAGGCGTGAGCTTCTGCTCTTATGTCCTCATCAGACAACTCCTTCCCATCTTCATCCTGGAGAGAAGGCAAGACACCCTTGAAAATCACACCAGCTCTGAGGACTCCTCAGTCTAACATGAAATAATCCCTGAAGATCATCCTCCTTCCAGAAAGTCAAGCCCAGCTTGCACTCCTAGATATCTCTTGGTCACTATTGAGGATTGCTTTTTCTAGTTCTGTGAAAAATAATGGTATTTTGATAAACATTGCATTGAATCTGCAGATTGCTTTGGATAGTATGGTCATTTTCACAAATTGATTCTTCCAACTCATGAACATGGCATGTGTTTCCATTTGTTTGTGTCATCTATGATTTCTTACAGCAGTGTTTTGTAGTTCTCCTTGTAGAGATTTTTCACCTCTTTGGTCAGGTATATTTCTAGGCATTTTATTTTTTGCAGCTATTACAAAAGGGATTAAGTTCTTGATATGATTCTCAGCTTGGTCGTTGCTGGTGTATAGCAGCACTGCTGATTTGTGTACATTGATGTTGTAACCTCAGTGAGGTTACAACATCAATGTAGTGAGATTTTACTAAAATCATTTAACAAATCTAGGAGTCTTTTGGTGGAGTCTTTAGGGTTTTCTAGATATATGATCATATCATCAGTAAACAGTGATGCTTTGACCTCCTCTTTTCTAATTTGGATGACTTTTATTTCTTTCTCTTCCCTGATTGCTGTCGTTGGGATTTCCAGCACTACATTGAATGGAAATGGTGAAAGTAGGCATCCTTGTCTTGTTTCAGTTCTCAGGAGGAATGCTTTCCAGGTTTTCCCATTCCATTTGATGTTGGCTGTGGTTTTGCCTTGTAAGACTTTTATTATGTTAAGATATATTTATTCTATGCTTAGTTTGTTGAGACTTTTTTTTATCATAAAAGGATGCTGGATTTTACAGAATGCTTTTTCTGTGTCCATGGAGATGATCATATGATTTTTGCTTTTAATTCTGTTCATTTGATTAATCACAGTTATTGACTTGCATATGTTGAACCATCCCTGCATCCCTGGGATAAAATCCGCTTAACAATTGAGTATAATCCTTCTGATGTGCTGTTGGATTTGGTTAGCTAGTATTTTGTTGAGGATCTTTGCATCTATATTCATCAAGTGTATTGGTCTGTAGTTTTTGTATGTTGTTATGTCCTTTCCTGGTTTTGTTATCAGAGTGATACTGAATTCATAAACTGAGTCAGTTAGAGAATAGGCCC